CAAGGGGGGGGGGGGGGGGGGGGGGGCGTACTCTTATGCTTTGCATGCCTTAGCGGTTAGACCATTGACCACGCGTCCTCGAGAGGACGGAGCATTGTTCCTACAGGACCGATCACCGATGGCCAATCGTTCCTTCCTACTTTGCCAAAGGTGGCTCAAAAATGTCTTCCCTAGTTTGTCTATCCTACCGATGTCACTTCCCGCCTTTTCAAACCACTTTCTACTCCCCAGTACCGCTACCGTCCTCTCCTCTCTATTCCATGCCTCAAACATCTCCCTGTATGTCACTTGTATTCTTCCCAGCTCAGTCATGTACACTTCCCTCTCCTTTTCGTACCACGGACATTCCGCGACTACATGAACACTGTCTTCGCATTCGAAGCCGCAATCGCTTTTGAACTTGTCGTCTTCGTCGTCTACCGTCCTGTGTCTTCGTCGACGTTCGCGAAGGCCTATGTCCCCGGTCCTGAATTTGACCTTAAGCTTTGTCCCTGCATCCATTGGTCCATGTAGGTAATCCTTGAACCCTATTCCTTCTTTCAACATTCCGTACACTTCTAGACCCTCCTTATCCTTGGATTCTTTCCTTAGATTCTGTTCTTCTCTGTCGGCACAAGCAACAGATATCTTCTTCTTGAACCCCTGTAGACCCTCCGTTTCCAGCGTTTCATCTTCGTCGATGTCCAATCCCTTCCATACGTCCTCTACAACCTTGACCCATTCCGTGGGTTGTCTACCCCTCTTTTTGTTTGCCCACTTCGCCTCCCATACTATTCTCGGCAACCTCTTTTCTCCCATCCCGCACATGCGATACTGCCATGTCAGCTTCCTTACGTCTCTTCCCGACCGTAGGGATTGGATCCCCAATTCTGCCCAGACTGCTGCATTACTTGTGCGCTTGGAGCATCCTAGGATGATTTTCGCTGCTGTCATCTGCGCCGCCTCGAGTTCTTTCACTACCTTCTTATTTCCTTTCCATACTTCTCCGGCGTACTCTAGCGGCGGTACGAAAGGGGGGGGGGGTGACTAACTGCTGGGAGTGATGGTTGGCAGCCAGCGCATGGAACATCGCTTTGGCGTTTAGTCTTCTGTCCACGTATGACGTTCCAGAACCATGAAACCAAGGGGTATTCATGCTTTTAGGAGCACTGGTACTTCTAAACGTGCTTCCTCAATAGAGTATATAAAAAAGTCAGGCATCACCCGTTACAGTAGCACAGCAGCGGTGCTTCACATTTAAACGCAACGATGCTGGCAACTTGCCCATTTTACAAATACAAACCCTATTGACCTGCGCCCTGGTTGTGGGGGGCAAGGTTTGACGTTGCACGTGACATATCGTCGATAGGAAGCAGCGGAACAACATCGATCTGGCGGGGGTGAAGACAGCACTTAGTTGGAAACGGTGCATCACTACAGTTCCGAAATTACAAAAGTGGCGTGCGGTTTCAACGAACACACGGGCGGTGGGGGAGGCCGTCGTGACTCGCACCTCGTTGACACGCCGCCCCGGTAAAAGGCGAAAAGCACGAGCAAATCCCGGTATCTCTGTCACAGATCCCTGCGTTAGAGCACTCGACCTCGCTGTGCGCAATGTCCGTAGCGTACGCCTTGTCTGCCCATGCTACCCCCTTTGAGCAAGTGCCTGCAGTCGAGTTATTAATGGCAAGGTCACGTCGCACGTATCCGCGGCGATTGCATCATGGCGTCTCGAGCGATGTACCACGATGGCGAACGATTCCCGAAATCGCACGAGGAACGAAGTTGCCGTCAAAGCCAACAGCAGTATGCAGCAAAGCCAAGGTGCTGTGCTTCTGATTTACTCCTGCTTGAACAAAAGAGCACGGCTGCACCTGTCTCTATTCTGTAACGCTCGGATTTGGTGCTTTTGGTGATTCCCATGTTAACCCGGCCAGTCTCGCTTCATGTTCTGAACCCCCGGAGGTCTCGTGGAAGTCGACACACCCGGGTTTCATAATCGAACAGACGGTCAACACAATGAAGATACAACGGTGACCTGGGTGCTCTAGAAGCCCAAGCCGTGAAGTGGCTGCCTACTTGACGTAGAGGCGGCATTGCAAGGGTCCCAGACATTGAAAGGAAGAGGCTACAGCAAAGTTGGCAGAGTTGGTGCAACCTATGTAAACGATTTTTGTTGGCAGGGTGGTGATCTACCTACTGTATGAACTACGTCTTCGAAACTCACGCAAAGAACAGTCCGGCGCGAAATCCCAACCAGAGTTGCAGGTGCATTTCGCCCCCGGTCCACAAGTGCCGTGGCCGCTGCAGTGGTTAGGGCAAGCTGCATTAGCCAGCAGCGCCGCCGAAGCCTGAAGAACATAAAACACCTGCAAGGCTTTCTTAAGGCTAGCTGTCGCCATGGGGCCTGATGACTGCTGCAAGAGCCAATACAACTGTACCAGCCACCTGGAGGTAAAAAGAACACCACAAAGTAGGGCAAGTGCTTATTAGTCCCGGCTGTACACGCTTGACATCATCTTGTCCAGCCCTGTCCGTTGACACACTCGCTGGGCGATGGGGATCGATGGCTATCGACACCTGCTGCTCATGTTCTTTGCGCAGACTGGTCTTCGATCAAGCTTGGAGGTGCACAACACACACTACAGTACATGCGTTGAGTTGTCCAGCCCATGGCGGTGATGCACTCAGGCAATCTTGTACATGGAAAATTGTTGGACAATGATGATTAGCCCTTCTTCGTTGTGGCTTCTTTCGACGCTAGTGGTGGTGTCATATCTCCTCTTCTCCCACGGAAGGTAGGTAGGTGTGTTCTCCTATAATCTTTAGGCTACCCGTTCAATCCCCGAGGCCGTGTGACGCCAGCGGCGCTATGTAGCCAGACAGGAAAGAAGCAGCATGCAAGAAGGATAAGATCAACCTTACGTCCATGAAAACGAGCATCCACACAGTTGAGCGCGCAGCAGTAGACTACTTCTTCGATGAACGGGCGGTTGAAAGGGTAAAAACGCATCAGACCTGTATCTTTCGACAACAGTCCGAACAGCAACGTCGTACCAGCAGCGTACCCGCCGACCACAGGATCTGTAAGCCTATCAGGTTCTCTTGGTGCGGCGGTAGTAGTTGGAATTTGTCGCGACCGGTCTGCTGCGCCGCTCGCACTACGCCGCGGTTGCTCTACTTTACATCACACGCAGTTTCACCAAAGGGGAGAACGTGGCGGTAGGCAGGACTGTTGGATCCAAGGAGATCTCCGTCGGAGATCAACATATTCGAACACAGAGGATGGAGGATGGAGGACACACACGATCTCTGACAGACCGCAAGAAGATCGGACTCACTACAAATCATGGGCAATCCTTAGCACTTAACAGGGTATGCTGACAAGAGGTTCGCAATGATTGGCGGGGGCGGGTAACTGACAGCTCGCATCTGGTATCGGACAACCTGCACTTGTCGACCTTGCCGGCGTCGTCGGCCGACGCGCGACGTCCACTGATGCTGTCTGTCGTCCCTATTTTTTTTATTTTTCTGTGAGTGCATTTTGACGTGTCTGAGTGTTTGAACCCTGATCGTCTGAACATCATGTACAGCAGAAGACAAAGCAGCACTTCGTGCATCATCAAAGAGGAGCCACCCAATGGATGGGACTGCAGAGCAACCGGCTTCCTGAGGGGATCTCTCTCTCAAGTGAAGTAATTACTTCTTTCGCAGGCGTTGATGATTTTGTATGTGATGTTGCGGGGCGAGCAACACGACGATATGCTCCTCCTGGACGGACGGACGGATGAAGCCATTAAGTATTACGTGTAGGCTTGAAATGTAAATGCCCACGCCAGTGAGCTTTCGTCTGCAAATTGAGTCAAGAAACCCTCCCCGGTAGACGAAATCTCGAGGAACAAAGCAAGTCAGACACGACCCATGTGCAGGTAGCCGGCTTGAAGTCACGGTGTGTAAGTCTGCTGCGTCACGACGTACTTACTCCAGATTGAAGTCACACGGGCCGTCTGCTGTGCGTACCGCGACTGCGGTGCTGTTTTCTGTGCACGTCCATGCTAGGTCTTGTTTCAGCATCCCGCGTGCGGATGCTTCAATCAGAGGGTGCCGTGCCGCTCTCGTGCCGAACTCGGCTTCTGGCAAGATACAGCAGTTCGCCCGTTTCTCAGTTTTTATAGTTTTTTTTAACCGCGTTGTTGCCGTTCTATCCTCTCTCGTGCGTCAAAGTCCAACCCAGCAACCTCTAAACTTTGCCAAAACTTTTGCTCCCACGGATGGACACTTTGCTACCGTATGCAAGAGACAGCCGACGTATGGTTATTGCCCCGCTGTAGACAAGAGAGACAAGTCGTCGCCTCCACCCCGACAAAACTAAACGCCACACCAAATTCACCGCAATAAATATTCCACGGAAGAAGGAAACTAGATGAAAACTCAAAATCGCCTTGGGACATTTAACAAAAGCTCTCTTGCCTCCTCCGAATGTCTGGGGAGCGCGCTCTAATGCAACCGATTAAACACATGCGGCCGCGTGACCACACAACGACAAAAACGCGACGGTCGAGCTTGAAGCAGATGCCAAAACAGGTCTAACGTACATCTAACCCCCCAACGCTCAACTCCAACGCCCCGAGATCACCCGGGCTTGAGGTCACCAGGGACTCGGTTTACGACCGCGCAATGGCTACTACTCGCTGTCGGAAGGTCCCGGCATTGGGAAACCTTTCCAATCACCTCATTCTCGAGAGAGGAAAACAAAAAATGTCAGATTTCACACGGCCGGCCCACTCCGGAGGCGCGCGCGCCTTCGGAGGGTTATTTAAGCCCGTCGGCACAAAAAAAAAAAAAACGACAGCTTTTGGACGTTCGAGGGGTGTGGCCTTAGTCCTCCTCGTCGTCAGCCCTGTTCATGCCGTACTTCGCGACGACTTCCTTCTCCACGTTCTGTTGGCATACACACACCATAGGGGACAAAAAAACAGGGGGGGGGGGAACAGCAAAAAAAATGGTGGTTGTTACTTCGTGTTGCATGCTGCCGGTTGGCGCACAGGGAAACAAAAAAACACCGAAGGCAGGTTGCTACTTCCTATTTCCCGCAAAAACATGAATACCCGCCCATTCCCCTCGCCGCTCGTTTGTTGTTGTTGTTGTCGTCTTCACATTAAAAACAGTTCTCGTCCAACAGCCTTTTGCCCCTTCGACAGCAGTGCCACCAACACCCAATCGTCAGCTAGCAAAAAAATAAATAAATAAATAAATAAATAAATAAAACTCACCGGTGGGACGAAGTCGTACTTAAGCAATTGCATCGAGTAGTTAGCTCGCCCCTTCGTCGCCGACCGGAGGGTCGAAACGTACTGTTTTTTTTGTTTTTAAAGAAAAGACGTTTATTATTCGTTCCGCACGAATGGTTGACGGTGCACGACGACGAAGCAGGGATTGGGGGGGGGGGGGGGTAGGTCAGAAAAAATAAAAAGGAAAGAGGGCGCCAGCGGAGAGTATATTGTCGCCGCTCGACCTTACAAAACATACAGCAACCGTGCCAGGTGAAAACAAAAAGAGAGATAAGTGCCCGGAAAAGAGAGAGAGGGAACAAAATAAAAGGCGAAGCGCGCCCATGTCGGCCGGGGTACCCAACCCTTGGCTTGAAACTACAGCAGTAGCGTGTCAGGGTCCGGGTCGAGTCGGAAGAAAAAGTCGTACAGCAGTACATGGGACACACGCTTGAACTGCTTGAAATTTTCTCCCTCTTGCCTCCCTGTTTTAGTGTCGGCACTCGGTCGCACCAAAGAAGTGATGGTGAAATTGCTCTCTCTCATGTCTGTTCTGTTGTTTATGCACGGTTCTGGAACGTGTCGGCACTCGGTCGCACAAAAGAATTAAGGAAAAATAAATACACACACAGAAAGACTACCCATTCGAGATATACCCACAGTCGAACGGGATGTGGTGGAGCCTTTTCAGTGAGTGGAGGAAAACCGGCTGGGTACTGGACTTGTTTCGAGTCTTTCTAAGTCTCGCACAAAAGAAATGATGGTGAAATTGCTTTCTCTGGTGTCCGCTCTTTTGTTTAAGCACGGTTCTGGAATTTTTTTTTGACAACATTCCCAGATCCGTTCCTCATAATACATCAGTGCATACCGTAAATGACACGAGATAACACACCCCCTGGACAGATTTTCACATCTCGATTTCTCAACAACACAAAGACTCACAGCGCCGAAAACGGTGGCGTCGAAGCTGACTCGTCGAGAGCCTTCCGAAAATGTACTGTTTCATTTATGCATCCTCTTCGTCATGACGTAATCGAGCTTTGAAAATTTGTCTAGGGGGTGTGTTATCTCGTGTCACACGGTTTTTTTTTTCTTCGCTTTGCACCTGGAACATGTTCGCGAGGGGCACCGTGGATTCCACTTGCTTCAACCCATTCCTGTCCGAGAGCTCTACGATGCTGCCGCGGCGGGAGTTGATGTCGCCGATGACATCACCCATGTACTCCTCGGGGGTGATGATGTCCACCTGATGAAGGGAAAATTCCGGGGGGGGGGGGGGGGGGGGGGGGGGGGGGGTTTTC